CAACGACTGGAACGGTTACCGTCAACAAGACGGTTCCGACGAAAGAGTTGAGTCGGGATGTGACTGCACCGACAATGCAAAGTGTCGCGAAATGCACACATCTTTTGCGGTATTTGATTGGCGCGAAAATGTGTGTGCTACGCCTGAGACCGTCGTATCAAGTGGCGGATGGCAATTGTGCTGTGGATATCAATGTCTACCTGGACTCTGACTCGGCTGGATGCTCTAAGACTCGAAAAAGTACGAGCGGTTCCACGGTGAATGTTCTTGGCTGCAATGTTGTGAGCACTGCCAGAACGCAAGGAACACTGGCATTGTCATTTGGTGAAGCTCAGTTGTGTGCGATTGGTCAAGGAGTGTCTGAAGCACTGTTTGTCCGATCAATGCTGTTGGAATCAAAGCTAGCGAAGAAGGTGAATGTGATTGCGCATACCGACAGCACTGCGGGTAAATCAATGGCGACCTGCTTTGGCACGAAAGAAAACGAAACATGTGGAACTGCGGTTCCTGTGTGTCCAGAATCTGGTGCAAATGGGCCTGCTGAGGATGGCTAAGATTGAAGGCACGTGCACGTTGAATCCTGCGGATCTAATGACCAAGTATGTTGCGACTGATGTGTTGCAGCGACTGAAGGCACATATTGCTGTTGTGTCGAATTGGTTTAAGGATCTCGCCACTGATGCTCATGATACTGATGATCATGTGGCTCCGGTGGTGAATGCTCAATGGCCTTCCCCTCCCCGGCCACCACTTTGCTGGGAATGGCCCGCGCACACCCGCCCTGCCAGCCCTCGTGCGCGTCCCGACTGTACCCACTGCGTGCACTGTTTCTCTGGACGCCGTTGGACTGAAGTCCACGCCGAGGGACTGTGTAGGTGAGCTGCGGTGAATGCATTGCATGTTCGGATTGCACATGTCACACTGCTGTTCTGTCTAGTGTAAAGGGAATGCAGCAGCTTCTTGTCATGACTGCATGTGCAATGTTCACTTGTCTTGTCATGGCGGCATGTGCAATGTTTCAATGTTGCCCGAAAACCCCAAAAACCAAAGAAAGAGAGAGTTGAGAGAATGAGAGAATTTTCCCGAAATGCTTTCTCCGATTGTTTTTCCGACATGTCCGATCTCGCCGAATTCCGAAGGGAATCTCGCCGAATGTTTGCGAAATGCTTCCGACTGTTTTCCGGAGTGCTTGCAAGTGAGATTGCATGTACAGAGTGCAATGCAAGGGACTGATTTAGGTCCCAGTGTTGCAGACTGAGGTCAATGTGTTTCCCCGGAAATGTTTTGCTGAATGTTCCTTAGTGACGTCGACTGCCTGTAGTGTAGATTGCTTCCTCCGCTCGCCCGATTGTAGCAGCACTGGCCCCTAAGCCGTCGACTGTGCCAAGGAGTGGAGCTTTCGAGCGAGTGAGAATGGAACCACTGCCGGAGCATCTGTCTGAGGAAATCACTGCCGAGCAACTGGCGATTGATATTGCCTCTCTGAGTGGCCTCACTGAGGCAGAAGTGAGGCACACTGGAGTGCAAAGCAGCGAATGCGGTTCCTTGGGAAGCCCGGCACTTGATGAATGAAGTGCTGGTGCCGCACCGACTGAGCAGGCATGGTCCTGTGAATGCAGAAGTGTCTGCCGCTCTGACTGCGATGGACTGTGGAGTCGGTGTGGAATGAACTCGACAATTGGGTCACCACTGTGGTGGAGAGTGATCGCCAGAGAGTGGCTGAGAGGGCGAATGATCTCGCCGACCGAATGCTTCGTGCCCAGGTGAATCTGGCCGAATCTCTCTACAAGAGAGAATGAGATGATCAAACGTTCCCAATGGTCAGTGTGCTGTTGCCAGGCACGCGGAGCGGAGGAACGACCTGCCTGTCGTTTCGACCACCCGGACCAGCGCTCGAATGGTCCAATGAGTTCGTTGAGAATGCGAATGCACTCTCTCAACATTCAGAATGAGTCGAATGGCGCAAACAACTGGATGATTGCAACAAGTTGGACGCAAATGACAAAGGCCAAGCGACTGTTCCTCACAAAAGGAAACTGGCGTGTGGAATGGCTGGCTCCTCACTACGCGAAGGAGAATGTCACTGATGCCTCGGTGAATGTCTACGACTGGCTTTGCTTGCCACTTTCAATGGCAACGCGACTGTACACCAATGGCGTGCTGGATTTGGCAAAGTTTCCTTGCCACCAGCTGAATGGCAGCTACAATGCCCTCAGCGCACTGAGGAAGACTGTGCAATGGGCAAACCAAGGAGTCTTCGAGGATAGTGAGAATGACCAGTGACCAGCCGATTGCATTTGTGGTGTTCCGCCGCACCAAGAATGCCGCAATGAGACGATGGGTCGCTGGCGGACCGAATGGCAATGCTCGAGTGAAACTGGCGATTTATTTAAATCGCCAACTCACTGACCACATCAGCACCTTCGAGTGGGATGGAAATGGCACTGAGGACTGGAAGTGGACACTGGAGCGATTGTCCCACATGAGTGCTGGGATTGTTCGTGTCCCAATGACTGATCCAATGTGCGTGCGCAAACCCAAACTGCTGCTGTGCCTGAATGAGATCATTGCATGGGGACTGTTCGCTACCCACCGAGGACAAAACCTTGTGGAATGGCGATTGATGGGTCACACGATGATTCCATTGACGCAATGTGTGAATGCCGTGGTGGAACACGACTGCTCTACCTGCTACCTGGGAGGAGACCTATGGGAATGAAGAAGAGTTGAGAGACAGTCCGAGAGACAGCAATGCCTGGAATGCTCCCAAGGGCAAGAATGATCCCGCCTCCTCCTCCGGAGTTGAGCCTTGGCTCAGACTGCGAAGGCTCTGTAGCCTGGCTCTGAGATCGTCCTCCACAAGAATGCGAAGTGCACCATGAAGTGAATGCACCGTGCAGTTGCATAATTTAGGAGTGCCAATGTGACTTCGATTGTTTTGCAAGTGTGAAGTTCCTCCTGAAATGTTGAATGGATTTTTCAGTGGTTGGCTGAGACTGAAGTTCTCGGATTCAGCCGAATGTAGCATTAGCCGACTTTCAATGATCACTTGTACAGTGCAAGCCGGCCTTCGAATGCCGTTTTGTTACGACCCGAATGTCATCCCGAGTCAATCCAACAGTCCGGAATGAGGCCAATGATCCTTCGCTGCTTTGATTGGTGATTGTATTGACTGTTTCTTTTGATCGCTTCGCGAATGCCACCACCAATGCTCGTTTGCTTGCTGTTTGAATGATCTTCGACTGAAGTCAAGATCAAGGGACTGTGTCAAACGACACGAGCCCAACGTGCACCCGAATGTTCCTGATGCATTAGAGAATGCTACGATGCCGTATGGCATTGGCTCAAGACTGGATCAAGGCTTGACTGCACAAAGGAATGTCTGCATCTGTGTGTGACTGGGGAAAGTGATTGATCTTGGGTGTCCCGCTTGGATTGATTTGTTCTGTCGAATTTTTGATTCGCGCTCGCTCGCTCTCTCTCTCTCTCTCTCTTTCTCTCTCTCTCTTTCTCTCTCTCTCTCTTTCTCTCTCTCTCTCTCTCTCTCTCTCTCTCTCTCTCTCTCTCAGCCGTCTCGCCCCTCTCGCCCCTCTCGCCCTTCTCGCCCCTCTCGCCCCTCTCTCCCCTCTGTCCCCTCTCTTCCCTCTCTCCTGCCTCTCTCCCCTCTCACCCAGCTCCCTTCCCTTCCCTTCCTCCTCCTCCTCCTCCTCCTCCTCCTCCCCCTCCCCCTCCCCCTCCCTCCTCCTCCTCCCTCCTCCTCCTCCCTCCTCTTCCCTCCTCCTCCTCCCTCCTCCTCCCTCCTCCTCCCTCCTCCTCCTCCCTCCTCCTCCTCCTCCTCCTCCTCCTCCTCCTCCTCCTCTTCCTCCACATCTAATTCTTCTTGACTTCCCGCCCCCCCCCTCTCTCGTGTTTGGCACCTTGACTGCAAGATTACCCCTCTCGAACCCTTCGCGGAGGGCCGCCATGACGTTTACGGAGCTGCGCTGAGATGCAGGCCGGAAGTGTGGGCGGCAACCACCACCACCACCACCACCACCACCACCACCACCACCACCACCACCACCACCACCACCACCACCACCACCACCACCACCACCACCACCACCACCACCACCACCACCACCGCTGGCGAGGTCGCACCCGGCTCTCTTTATCAATGCTCTCTTTATCAATGGACCAGTTAAACGCTAATCCTATCTTTTGCTTTCGGTCTCTAGCAATACTGTTGAATGGTTTTGTCGAGCCAGAATCTCTACATGTGGTTTTTGCATTCGCAAACTTTGTCGCCCATGAAAAAGAACGAAAGCACAGATGCCTTTGTTTAAGATCCCAAACTTGTTGCCAGGATCACTTCACCAAATGTTTGTTCAGGTTTGTTTTGGAGGCACCATGCGTATCGGTGGAAAGGAAGGCGTTTTTCCTTCGAGATGTCTACATGCGCGTGTTTATTATTTGACCAAGTTTTTGGTCTAAACCGGCGGCTGGAATGCATAAATTTCAATTGTGATTGGTCGGTCCGAAACATATAATTCGTGCACCGTGCTTTCCTTCCCACTTGTTGTTGTGCAGTTACGGTTGTTGTTTTGGCAACAGGTCAAAACCGACCGATGATGAAAGGAACAATTGTGGGCGAACATGTTCATTTTGGGCAGCCAAACGCAGTTCAGATGTGGTCGAAGGTGCATGCGTGGCTTCTTGGAGAGCGTTCCATGTTTCGACAAGTTTCCGGTGCATTTTACACAGACTGGCATGCATACGATGTTCATAGACACATGAACGTACAATTCATCAGTTTGGCATGAAAATGGTGCAACCACGAAGGACATGGAATCATGCAGCCAGTCCACGTCTTGTGCACATTGTTGTTTGAGGCCCAGGATGGTGACTGTTTCATGGCCACTCCCATCGTGATGGTTCATGCAAATCAAGAAACATCCCAGCATCCCGAAAGCATCAACACAGGTTTCGGCAATTTGGCCCCATGGCTCCGATGACATCGGATGTCTTGGGTGGACATGCCAACAAAGATCTCTGCCATTGTGCCGCTTTTGACCCAGGCAGCATCGTGATCACACGCTGTAAACCACGTACCCTATGTGGACAACAAGGCACAAAATTGGCAATTAAAGCCGGGCTTGTAGCATTTAGGTGAGCTTTCCCCACATGGTGATGAGGTTTGATCCACACCGAGCGAACACGCTAAGGATCAGGGCTTCAGGTTGGAGGTTTTCAGCCGTTTTAGCTATCGGCTATCTAAGTTTCCGCGATGTAAGAGCACGTCTCCGGTGGTTGGCCATCGCACATCGCCTCTGTCCCGAGATTGCAGCAGGTCGAAGGCATCGCGTTCAAATATGGCTTGGCACTCAAATAGTGCATGCGTCGTGGCAACATTCTGCCCTTGCATAGTGCGGATTAGTTCCAACCTCTTCATGGGTTTATTGGGTTACAAGGTTGCTTCTTGTGAGCATCCAGCCTCACAGTATCATTGTTACACATGCTCTTGTAAGTATTCAACTCATGGAGTCGCGTTGCCTCTGATTGTTCGCGGCAAAATATGGTCGTGGGGTCGGGTTTAAGACCAAGTGCAGTGGAGGGGGTTTTCGGAATGATACCCGGGAGGGCGGATGTTGTAACCTGGGACCGGTAGTCGTGGTAGCAGACTCGGCATAGCGGCTTTCCTTCTAGGAACCCTTGCTTCCAACCCTGAAAGGTTTTTAGCGGGGTGTAGGGTTCTGTTAAGCGCTCCTTTAAGGCAGCTTTGAAAGGAGTATGATGGGGTTTGGAAGTTTACAGTTCTTTCAAAAGGAACCCTTAAACCCCTGACCCCTTGACCCCCCTTCGGGGCGCCACTCATATTCACACGCTTGAGCTTCTTGGCGACTCTTCTGGCAGTGGACAGTGACCTCAAGCTGTTTCTCTTTTCCATCCCCGGTCGATGCTTTCAAGCCAGCGTAATTTCTCTGCTCAGCTGCCAGCATAAGTGTCCTCGCAAATCGACCTTCGCCTTCTTAGGTGATAGCTTTTGCTAATGTCACTCAGAACAACTTTCCATTCACCTGGCAGTAGTCTGATTGACAACATCAGATCATAATCCTTCGTTGATGCAGAGAACGTATCCGAAAAGTGACGACATGTGCAAGCCCAACAGGTCCTTGTGCATTTGTCAGCAGGGAGGAGTATGAGTTCTGTTGCTGTGCCGGAGCCTCGGTAATGATCTTGAGGAACGGTGGACATGCCCAGAGACCCCAGAGAGGTCCAAAGGCTCAAACAGGGCCGTCAGAATCGTAAGCATTTGAGAGCCCACAGCGGCCACCGAGATGTTCAGTATTTGGCTCAAAGAGAGGTGCCGGGAGCTCAAAACGACGTTCTCCAACAGGATTTCAACCAACAGGTCCACAAGCCCACCACAAGTGATATGTGTGTCACCTCGGATTGAGCAAACCCTCCTTTTGCCGGTGCTGACATTCGTGCCAGGAGGTTCCCAAGAACACGGCGTGCTGGAACCACGAGTCCCACACGCAGTGGCAGGTGCGTGCTTCGGGCATTGCCTGCGTGTGAATTTGTATTTCAAAGTATCGCACGGCCGATGAATCCCCGACTAAGTTCCAGGGTTTGCCAAGTCGCAATCGGAAAGTTGGACAAGAGGGCTCTGTCTCTCAGGATTGCTGCGAGAATGACTTCCAGGACTGGAGACTTGCTATTTTAGTGAGCCAACCTTAGAGTCGAACATCTTGAACCTAGGACTTGGGATAGACCTGACGAGGACATTTTGTGGTAGTTTCCGTCGTAGTGATGCAGGATGTATTAGCACGTTGAAGTTCGCTATCAGACCATAAACGAGCTGCCCCACCGTCACAGGCAGACGCCCAACACCTCGCCCCAATCCCTCCACGACCTGGGCGAAACTGTGCACCTCCTTGGCCCAGGGCAAATCGGCCGAGCGCCAAGACGAAGGTTCAAATGTTTAAGAGAATTCCCGAGATCCTTCGCATGCGAGGAAAAATGCCCACCGGGCTCCCGCGTCTTCCAGCGCCTGCAGCCGCGAACGGAGGTCCTTTTGAAGCCAAGCTTTGGATGTGCCAAGGTACCAGAGTGTACGAAGTAACCGTAACCGGAGATTTTAGCAAAGAAGGGTTGCAAATTCAGGATTGTAGCAGTTGAGTCCCTTGCGTTCTATGAAACCCAAGACAAGTGTCAACCGCGACGATATCCGCAACTGATGATGGTGATGATGATCCTGATGCTGACGACGGTGACACTGATAGTGAGTTCTGCTCATGGCAACACTACTAGCGGAACGAGGTAGGCTGTTGAGTGAAGGCGGGCTTGTTTCTTGAAATTTAGCACGCAGTGTGTGTGTGTGTGTGTATGTGTGTGTCCTCAGTTGCCGAAAGCGAGCTCTTCGCCATTACCAGAACGAGAAAAGTGTGTATCCGGACCGACGATGATATCGAAGACGAGCGACGCGGATGGCAATAACAACGGTGCTAGTTATATGCCGGTGACGAAGGTGTAACAAAGGTGTGAGGGGGAAGGTTGTGACGATGATGGTGAAGCTGATGATGATGGTGATGATGTTGATGATGATGTTGACGAGGGTGATGATGCTGGTGATAGATGATGTTGTTGATGATGTCGTTGACGATGTTGTTGATGAGGTTGGTGACGATGTCGTTGATATTGACAAAATCGTTGATGATGGTGATGATGGTAATAATGATGACCACGATGATGATACTGATGATGATGACGATGATGATGCTGGCGACAGTCTCGATTGCAGGGGTGATGCAGCGAAAGCTAATGCTCACATCATCGGGGCGGCAGTAGGACTTGACAAACGCACGAACAGTTCTGCTCGACTGATCGGTGTGGTTGTCAACGCACCGTGCTCGGGACGAAGATGACGAGGGCATGTGCTGTTTTGATCATCCATGATGCAGTTAGCAACTACCATTTCCATTTTCTAATTCTTTGGTAGATGATTTACTGTAACATTTTTACATGCAAGGTTGTCGGTGTCAAATTCAATATTTATTCATATAGTAAGATGGAGAAGAGAATGTGCAAATCGTGCTGTGATTCAAAGGATGATGAAGAGTTTGACGGGTTTAGAACATGTAATAAATGCCGAGAAGCGAAACGAAAATGTTACAAAAAGAACCAGAAAGATCATAACCAAGCGAGGGGAGAAGAGAGGGCAAAGGGGAGCCAACTATGCGAAGAATGCGGGCACAAAATAAAACACGAAAACTGGGATGCCCATTTCGATGATGCTTTGCATCCGAACTCGGAACTAAATATATTGATGAAATGTTATTTAACGAAGCCAGGAAATTTAAGGAAAGAAGGCAAACTAAACGACGAATTACAATCAAAAATTAAGGCAGAATATTAAAAGCAGGAAAGGGAAATACGTAAACGATTAAACTAACAATACCCTAACAAGTTTCAAGACGAGCCAGGAAAAGAAGAACAACCTGAAGCCGAACAACTTAAACCTGAATTTGACGAAGTATGCAACCACGTTAGGCAATTGCTGATGAACGACGATTTTTAGAACATTACTTTATGTTATTCGGTGAGCTTATGGATACGATAATTGGGGTCTTGCTATGGGTCTTGGTGTGGGTCATTCGGTGGTTTGGGGGTTGAGGCATTGTGGTTTGGGTCTTTGGGTGGCATAGGGGGTGGGCATGGTTAGAAAATGGAAATGGTAGTTGCTGACTGATGTTAGGTAGTGGTCGCGGTGGTGTTGGCGACAGCGAACGGTCATCTGATGATGCTCATCAGCAAAAACATCATGAGCAAGACTATGATGATCAGGCTGATTTTGGTGATGGTTATGCGGACATCGATGAAGGGAAGGTGTTCGACGATGGCTGATACATAATGTATGTATGTATATATATATATATACACATATATATATATATATATCCGTACATAAATGTATGTAGATGTAGATGCATATACATATATATGTATATAACATTCATTGACATATATATATATATATATATATATATATATATAATATACACGATTTGATGTGTATGTGGGCATTTATTGGTTGACCTGCTAGTGGCTGCATGGTTGCGAAGGACGTTGGTCAAGCCCAACAGAGGTATGAATGATTATGAACATGGTAATGCTTTTGAGTAACATTGACGACAACAACCGTTTTCGAGAGATCGAGAGAGTGAGAGTGATGAAAGTGCTGGTTGCAGAGATCGGAGAACAATCAGGCAATGGAATGAGAATTGAAGCAGCGTTCAAATTTAATGATAGTTGCGACAGGTTGCGAGGCAAGAACCCAGCGGCCGTCACCCGTACCTGACGTCTGTGCTATACCACTTAGAGGATTGCAAGCACATGGAAACTTGCGCGACGTTGTTCTACAGTGATCCTGGAAACGTTCTCGTCCCGTGAGATGAATTCAGAGCCGCGGAGCCGATTGTTTGCGTAGTTGGGAATATGACGGAGGAAGGCAGGAGCAGAATTATGTGCCACTCCACTGCAATAACACCCTGGCCTAAAGTATTTATGTATGTGCTGCTTTGGATTTACCTTGACAACACCGAATCCTACACCCCGGGCCCTTGAATGATGGCCATTATGGAGCAGGTGGCGCGGGCCGGAATTCAGGATACCTTGGCAGTATATCAGCAGCTTGCGCGCACTTCAGATTTCTCCGTTTATTTGGGGCTGTCCTAAGTCCTACACCTAGGCGTGCAAGTTTCTTGTCGCTGGACTTTCGCTAACCTTCTTTCGCCGTCCTTTCAGCGAAACCTTCTCAATGCTGGGTCACAGCCAAGCATCTTGTATCGGACTTGACTTCAATTGGTCCACTTGGAAAGTCCCTTGGCGCAGTGTCAACCGATCTCGGTCGTGAGAATGGCACAGATTTGACATAGCACGTGGACCTCGGAACGGTGAAGTGTAATGTAGGCGTGACGATCTTGGCAGTGGAAATGTCCAGCGATGTGCGGCGACATTCGTGCGCCGGGCTGCCAGTCTATTCTAACCTCGGTGCCTGGGCACCGCGCCTCAAATTCTCGTCGTTTCTCCAGGCACGAAATGCGTGTCCTTGGGTTCAATGCCACAGAGGAACAATTATCTATTCCCTCTGTAGCAGCGGTTGCGACTCTGCTGTCGCTGCTTCTGCTGCTGGTGTGGTGTTGTGTGTCGTGGTCGTTGTGGTTGTTTTATTGCTCTCCGTTCTCCCTGTCTTTTCTCTCCAGATTCTGCTTCTCACACCGTCAAGAGAGCGAGAGATCGATGTCCAGTTTCCATATTGCACGCTTCTTGTCAAGCTTTCTTGTGATCAACGCCCTCAGCCCACAACACCTGAACTATCTCCTGCAAAGGCCCTCGGCAGCCGACCACTCGAAATACTGTTTTTTTTGATGGACGGCGGGGGGATCTGCATGGCATTTCTCTGGGCGTGCCGTCGTCGTCCTCGGAAAGTTTGAGACATTTGCTTCCTCAGCAAGAAAGGGCAGCGGCCTTCGCGAAGCAAGCGCTGGCCCACGAAGGTATGCTTGAAAGTGGATGTGCGGTCTGAGCAGCGCATCTAATGAAGCCGCTTACAGAAGAAGCAGCAGTAGAAAACGGCAGGTCCGTGTGACGGCAAATCGCTAGCTTTGTTTTCCTTGGTTCGTCTTGCATGCACGGAGCAACACACCACTTGTCGCAGAAGCAAGTCTCAAGAAGAGTTGGAGCTAATAACTTGGAGCAAATCACTATGTTGATCACAGCAGCCTGTGGGTGTGGTTCTGAGTGCGAGTGAGGGCTGGTGACGGCAACATGCTTATTACGTTCTCGTGGAGCCCAGGTTCGGCGATTTGCGGACCACGATTCAGGAGATCGTGAATTGTGAGCATGGGGTGCATTGGGCTACATGGAAGATGCTTCTCGTCGTGGAAACTCACTATACTTGAGGTGGTTGAGGGCTGTGCGTTGAACATGTTCGGCTTCTGGCAATGAACTGCCGTTCGGGCGTATTCCAAACGCCGCGATTTGGGGGAAAAGGCTGCGGGCTTCTGATCAATGCACGTGGCTTCATTTTGTATTGCACCGAACATGGCACCCAGGGCTTTGCGTCGGTGGTTTTCTAGCCGCACAACATCCTTCCACCATCATCCTGGAAGCCGACAGCCAAGCACGTCGAAGCCTTGAAAAAGAGCCCGTGCCCCAACATTTGAAGCGTTCCCAGATGAGGCTTTCGGTTCTGCTGCAACGCCACGAGGTTGAGACGCTGCACGAGACGGCCTGAGCCCCAAGACTAGCAGGTCAACTTAGGTCGTTTTCCGGGAGTCTTGTCTTCCGGATAAGCAGCTAAGGAGATACCAACTAAATACTCGAGAAATTATAGTCGGCTTGGTCGCCTTTCACTTCCTGCGGCGAAGGTCACTAGACTCTAGACAAGCAAACTCTCATGTGTAGTCGCTCGCAAGTTGCGGGTTGGGAGGGTGGAGTCCGTGACACTAGCCAGCCGACGTGCTCCGACATGATGCGCTGTTGACTGTTGCTTCTCTCCGCGAACCGATTTCAAAGGCGAAGCTGGATACACAGTTGACGGCAGTGGCCACCCACGTAGCATCCCGGTGGCAGCAATGAACCTGGCCCTGACCCTGTCTTGATGGGAGCCACCTACTGTGCAGTCTTAAAGCGTTGTGTCACGCGAAGCTGTGAAGCGTCGAAGGACAAGAGGGTGGTCTCGGAACGCTTCCGCCCCCCCAGGTAAGCAGTTTCAACGTGAGCTCACTGGGCCGCTCGGCTTGGCTCTTGGAAAGATAGGGGGCCCCGGCCCTGGAGCAGCTTTTTTTCAGAGTTCTTCGTGTGAGGCGCGCCTTAGCTGCCGTAGAGAGCGCCTTAGCTCTCTCTGGAGCAGTTGGCTGTTCAGTTCCCTCTCAGACCTCGACATTTGCTGGACAATGGAACATCTGCAGAGCTCTGCAGCCTTGGAACCTACTTTCGCCGAAGAAGACTGTTGCCGCCGAAGGCTTTACAGTAAGATTGGCATTCCCGACCTGTCAGAAACCATATAAGTTCTTGGCATGGACAGCATATCCAGTGTGCAAGCAAGTATCAGGTGAGCAGCCCGAGGACACCGAATGTGCATTCTGCGCTTATTTCGGGCACGAGCCTTCCATTGCAACTAGCTGTGCCAGGCTTTTGTTTGCAAAGTTGAGTTACTTCAGTTCAAGAGCTCTGAAGCTCCGAAATGCTTATTTCGAAAATTTTTCTGCTGCTACCAGCTGAATCATGACAGTGACAGACAATGACATGCATCAAGGGCCAAAGCAAGTTGCTGAGAGCTTGGACTCTGGAGCTGAGGAGTGGTTGGACACGGTTTCCAGGTTCGGCATAAAAGAGCAGACATGGCTCAAAGATCCCCGTGAGCGGCTCGGTCAGTGAGTCTGTGTTCGGACTTTGATTGAGTTCGGGTGTGGATCGTTGTTCTGCTTCTCCAGCACTTCGCGGAGGTTTTGAAGATGTAGGGATGCTTCGAACGGAACCCGGCTTGGGAATCGTGGGTCCGGCCTTGCAAGTTGCAAGGATTTTTTGCGTGCTGGGCTATGTCTCAGCTGCCTTCGTTGTCGCCGTGACGACCGACGCCTTCCGGACGCACCGGAAAACTCGAGTAGTTGAGAGCCCGAAGGTTCCTTTACTTACTTCCACCCAGCTGATGTCCTAAGATTCTAAGGCTTCGACAGTGGTTTCGAGATGGACAGTCGTGGGACTTAGGTTGATCCTGGTTGCGGCAACCCTAATTATTATGATCATTGCTTTTAGTGGGATGTCTCACTGTTAAGTTAATCCAAAAACTCCGAGCGTGCAACACAGGTTCGCAGCCTCTTGCCAGATGCATTGAGGCTCTTTGCCGGCAACCAGGACCAGCTTGTTCTTGGATGATTGTTGTTCAACGTGTAAACATGAATTCTAATGGCGAGGATCGTGATACTTCCATTGCTTGTGTCCCGTTTTGTACTGTCTGCTTCTCTTGTTTCTGGGACTCGGACTGGTATCCCTTAAGCGAGGGGCTGACGGCGGCTATCTGCAGTCTGCATTGAGTCAGCATTGACCCAAAGAGGCCGCAGAGGTCAAGAGCAGCTCATGACATGGTGTGACCGAATGTCGAGGTTCCAGCGCAGCCCGCCCGATTGTCTTGGAAAGAGGGTAGCAGTCGAAATCAGCAGCTGGCTTGCAGAAACACGTCTCAACAGGACTTGGATATATCGTCATCCTCGATCTGGCCGATCAGCTACTGGGATCTCGCTCCCTGACAGTGCATTGGGGGTTGGCTTGGGGGAGTCATTCCTGGATAAGTGGTTGATGGTACAGACCGCGGTTGCACCTTGTCATGACCGCTAAACACCTGGAGCTCCACAAGAGAACCGGTTGTGAACACAGGAGCAGAACCCAGATCCTTCCCAGGCCAGGAGCTCCACATATCTCTGCTCAACTCAACTCCGTCCCCACGACGTGGCATCAAACTCAGCAGACCCCAAGCCCCAAAGCTTCAATGCCCCAATTGTTAACCCAGAATTTACTTTTGAACCTGACAGTCTCTAGGCGCTGAACCTCGGCCGGGGCCGCCCGCGTCAGATGCGGACACTTGCAGCCGATGAGCGGGCAGGGGGCCAACGGACAGACGGCTTTCACACGCTTCAGTATTCCTCGTCTAGCAGGGGTCTAGGGCTACTAGGTGTCTTGCTCCAAACTCCACAAGACTCAGACACGCACGAAAAATCGAGCCGCTCGTAGCACTTTTTATTCGTGGCTTCTTCGCGTCGCTTATGCCGGAAATCCTTCTCTCGCCCGAAGGCTGTCGCAAAGTTTCCGGAGCTCCTCCTTTATCCAGGCCCGGGTTCGGGCATGTTTGGGGTTTGCTTGATTGTCGGGGTTGCAGCGCTCCGGGTTGAAAAGGTGTCCTTGTGCTAAACAAAGGCGAGCTTCACATCAGATTCAGAGCGGCTTTTGAATGCCACTTGGAGCGGTTCACCACTTGAAGGTTAACGGAATTGTTGGGGCTTCTACGGTGTTGGGTGCCTCAAGACCTACAGGCGCCGCAAACTCGAGCATACGGCCCAACACCCCGAAAAGTCTCCGTAGTCCTGTCAATATCTGAGTGTCGGTCTGTGTCTGCATCATCTTCTTTCTCTCGCTCTCTCTCCACTCCGCATCAGCTGCAATCAGAAGCATACTTAGTATCATGGGGACCCTATTTTTTTTAGCCCTTTTTTTTTTTTTGCCTTTTTTTTTTTTTGTTGGCCCCGCCGCGGGAAGGAAGGAAGGAAGGAAGGAAGGAAGGAGGAAGGAAGGAAGAAGGAGGGAAGGAGGGAAGAAAGGAAGGAAGGAAGTAAAGGAGGCAGGCAGGCAGGGAGAGAGGGGCCCTGCCGCGGGAAGGAAGGAAGGAAGGAAGGAAGGACGGAGTGTGTATATATATATATATAGTATATACAGTATGTGTAGTATAAACGGTGTATACAGTATGTATGGTAGATGTAGTAGATATAGTACATATATATAAATACATAGTATATATATATACAGTATATATATAGTATATATATATAGTATATAAAGTATATATGTATATAGTATATATATATATATATGTCTGGTATATATATCGTATATATAGCATATACGGTATTTTTATATATATTATATATATAGTCTATATATATAATATGTATATATAATGTATATAGTGTGTATATATAGTATATATATAGTATAAGTAGTATATATAATATATATAGTATATATAGTATATATAGTATATAAAGTACGTATATAGTATATATAGTATATATACTATATATAGTATATATAGTACATATAGTATATATAATATATATATATATATATATATAGTATATATAGTATATATACTATATACAGTATATATAGTATATATAGTATATATAATCAATATGGTATATATAGTAAATAAGAAGGAAGGAACAAAAGAAAGAAATCAATAAAGAAAGAAAGAAAGAGAGCCATGCAAGAACTAGAGAAATAAACAAATAAAGGATGCTACAAGTAAAAAAGAAAACAAGAATAGAGAACTAAGTAAATAAAGAAAGCTATAAGGTAAGAACAAAGAAAACACAAGGGAAAGAACCAAAGAGAGTTAGAAACAAAAACAAAACAAACAATGAAGAAATAACCAAAGAACAAAAACAGAGAAATAAAGAAATACGGAAGGCCATAAATTAATAAAGACAATCAGAAATAGTTAAAGGAACAAGAAAGACGCGGAAAATAAAGAAGAACGATACGTAAGACTATCGCTTCATTGTGCTTTTTTTGCCCTGGGTCCTAGGGGTGCGACGCTTAAATCGGCTTGACGCAGTTTCAGCGAGAACTAACGTCGCCCCGGAAGAAACAGCGAAGGAAGAACAGAAAGAACACGAGTACACAAACGAAAACGTAGAAACTACTTATGCTTTGCCTTACTCAGTCCACTGATCCTCCACGTCAGCAGCATTTCCCCTTGCCCTGGCGCGAAACCGCAGCCATGGCTTCTAACTACAAGCACGTCGCGCCCGACAACGACGAGGAGACCTGATCCTGAATCCCTAGAACTGAAGCGCTAAAACCAGAAAGCCGTTAAACCCTGAACCCTGAAGTCTAGACCCTGGCAAACCTTGTCAGTGGAGGCTTGCAGTATGGGAACCTTAGTCAGAGTGCAATGACCTTAAACCCTAAACCCAAAAACCCTGAAGCCTAAAACCCCATTAAATTTGGCAGTGGTTTATCGTTTGTGCTTACGTTTGTTCGAGATCTGATCCATAGTTTCGGATGTCGTTCTTTTTCTTGCTTAACTTGTTTTGATGCTTGGATCCTATGATACTTATAAATTTGGGTAAACCAGCAAGGACTTTGCAGTGACGCCACCAACAACAACACTACTAGCCAAGGGAAGGAAGACAGGAAGAAATAAATCACGAACAAATCGAAAAATAGAAAGATAAACGGAAAGAACCAACCACAGAAAGACAGACAAGGAATGATCGAACGAAATACAGAACGCAAACCCAAAAAAACACAAGGGAATAAGAACAACACAGTAAGAAAGACAGAACAATCACGCTGAATGGCTGCAATTGCCGTATTTTCATTTTTTGATCCTTCTTTGATTTTTGTTTGACCCTCGGGTTTTTTATCCCTACAACTAGAACTAAAACTACAACATACTACACCTACAACCACAACGCCAACAACAACAACACTACTAGCAACAACTACACCACGAAATCCGTCCTAAATGCGAAATTGTAGGAAAAATTTGATTTTCCCGAGGAATAAGCTAGGTAACGTATGTTTTCCTTCGGAAAACCTGAAGAAATGCCACGAACGCCGTAGGTAATAGGAAAATAAGTTTTTTTCCTAGGAAAAACCAAAGAAAACTTAGAGAAATACAACGGAATCCGTAGGAAAATCGTGTTTTCCCCAGAAAAAACCAAGCAAATCCTTAGGAAACGAAAGAAATCCATAGGAAAGCAGTGTTTTCCCTTGGAGATTCCTGTGGAAATACAGAAAATCCCGAGAGAAGAGCTGTTTTTCCTGTGCAAATACAGAGAACCCAGGAGCCCAGGGCAGGGAAAAAAAAAAAAAAAAAAAGGGCCAAAAAAAAAAAAAAAAAAGGGCAAAAAAAAATTCTCCACCCTAGTATCATCATCATCATGGTTACTGACAATAATTAAAGAGCAGTACTCTCTCTTGTTGTCGCTCGGACGGTGCATGCGGGGCTTTCCCAGTCTTTCTTTCGGAGGTCCTTATCAGAGATGGCAGGCTTGGTCGCATGCTGAAGCGAAGCCATTGATTCGTGCCCTTTGGCAGTATAGTTTGTTTGCAGGGTCTTCTCGATTTTCATTGAGTATGGTTCGTAGTGGCCCAGAATCAGCACGTCCGATCGAACTTCTCAACCAGCCAGGTGTTAGCTCGCAGTTCCTGTGACTTAGACGAGAACAGAGCTGCGACACATACTTTCGGCCAAGCCCCTTCAGCACCGCGAAGTTCAAGCCGCTGCAAGCAACAGCTAATAAGGCAGTGAGCCTGGTCTACCACCCAGCTGTGGATGCGCCATGCCTAGTTTGGAAGGGTGTCGAAGTCCACCCGTATGCAGGTTTGGCGCTGTTATCAAGGAGCCTGGCAACATTGCCTTGCCTGTGCGGTGCCTTGCGAAACTGAAAGACTCCCTGCCGTTCCCAGATCGAGATCCCATCTTTTCTGCTAAGCCGCTTGGCAGCATTTAATGCCACCGTGCCATGCGGGCCTGTACCCCGTTTCTAAACACTTCTAGTACTGGCAAGTAGTAGATGTAGTAGTAACGAGGTGAGTGGCGTATAGAACAACGTTCGTGGCTAGCGGCTTGCAGCAGGTATTACATCGTGTGAGGAGTTTTAGTCAAAGTGAACACACGCGGGCACGCAGACGCTGACAGATACGCTTGAATCTAGGCATGGTATGCCATCGTATGCCACATGATTTGGTAGGACCTACCATCGACGGAAACTAGGTTGCAATAGCCGGCAGGCACCATGGCATCTGAGAAAGCATGACGACATGATGCTTCGGGAGGTTTGTGGTTGCGACCCTGTGGCACCAGACCGTTCGGAATTTATATGGATGAAAAGACTGCTTCTGTACCGTCATAGATATGTAGCCAGACCAAATCCTGCAAGTGTTGACTGCAGTGGTCCAGAGGGGGTTGTGATAGGTTGACATTCTCACACGCCTTGCTTCATGGTCTTGGTTTGGGTTTGGCGGGATCTCATAAGCTCGATGATTGTGGAGCCGCGGCCGACGCTGGAAGCCACACCGGATGCAGCGCTGACAAACTTTGCATTTAGTCACGACGGGCTTGCTCATGAGCCTTTCGTGGCCCGTTCTGGGACCCGGTGGATTGCATGAGATGTGTGTTGACCAGCTGCAGTGGTTTTTAGCCGTGGCCACTGAGATCTGTCCGATGGACGGCTTGCGGTATCCTTTGCTTTCCTCGATGTGGGCTCACACTACACAGGACCGAGGGTTTGTTCGTGCATAAGCAGAGCTCGAAGCATCTCTAGGCATTCTGAGACTCGCTAACCGGGTCCCAAGAAGGCACCAGATGAGGCCGGCATGTTTCACGGGCTCGTAAGCGCATGATAGTTCTGACAAGTTGTAGCCATGGGCTCGTGAACTGGCATCTAGACAAGGTGTGGGTAAATTTTGTCGATGTAGGGTTGGGAGGCGCATGGATCCAACACTGCGACCAATAAACCAACACAATTCCTGGCTCTGAGGTTTGTAGGTTCTGCTTCACGTTGGTTCGGGCCCAGGCCCCAGGTTTGGTGAGGGCTCGTCTTCAACTCGTCTTCGGACGCTTCTGGGAACTGTCAAGAGATGTGTGTTTCTCGCAGTAGTCGGCACAAAATTTGCTTTCGTTTGGAGAAGCAGGCCAGACATTAAATGCAATCTGAACCACAGAAGTGCCGGCGTACAGGCGACCGGATGATGGAGCACGTCTGCAGCCAGTGGCCGGACCTTTGCATGGAGCCAAATGCCCCGGTTGCCAGGCCGAAATCAACACAACAGACTTTGTCGTGAGAATCCGAGACCTCAAAAGTGCACTGAGGTGGCTTAGTTCTTTGACTTTGTTTTTCTTCCTCCAGTCTCGACTGTGCTTCATCTGGCATGATCATGCCGCTAATGTTGTTGCGCCGTCTCGAGCACCGACCGGGTCTGCCATTGCAGCGGCAGTGCGCCACCATCACAGTCTGAGTTCTCATGTGGCAGTCGGGGTCGTCGGGATAAAGATCTGGGCGTGCAGTCGTCTGCAGCCTTGCATTCGGGGCCTCGCGGCATCGAGGATCGACTCAGCAGTGTGTGATGAACGAAGCGCTAGCAATCTGGCCAGTCGTGTGAGGACTTCAATTATCCACTCA